GCTGAGATGTTCTGTCTCACGGACTAAGGAACTGCTGGATTTTTTAACTTTCTGTTGGGGGGACAGCCATTGCTTGACTAGCAGGACCACAGCCTATAGGCCACTCTAATAAATCCCCTATATAGTCATGTTATTAGTTCTATTCCTCTAGAGAACCCTAACTGATAAATTCCCCAAGCTTATATATACACTCAGAACTGCTAAGGGTCACTCAGACTAGCTGAGCTGCTGATAAAAGATACTCTCAAACCTGTTAAGCTGCCTTCAGGCTATGCAGAGGGTTCCACGTTTCCAGGTTTCCTGTGCCAACATCCGTGTTGAAGGGGGGAAAGGAAAATAGCAAGATTTAACATTAATTAAACACAATTATCAAGCTTAAGAGGGAAACAGGCTAAGTCAGTTCGGCTTCTAACGTAGTTAATATGAAACTGCTGACTTCTGTGTCTGTGAGCCTGGAGCGTCTTCTTTTCTGGAGACTTGGACAGCTGCCCTTCCCCACCTCCAAGAAGCCACCTCTACTGATAGCAGCTTACAAAGGAACTTCTCTTTGCTAAAGATACAATTGTTCTAGCAGAACCTGCCATTTTATCTTCTCTAAAATTTTCTTGGCTCCAGAGAAAACTCTCTTTTGAGATGGGGGTGAAAAGACCATTATAGGACAGTGACATAGTGAAGGTGATGACAATATGGCTGACCCTGTAGAAGCTACTGAACATTTCTGTCATCACAGAGGTTACCACCGGACCTCTGTGAGCCGGAGCTAGAGGTTCTGGAAGCACTCATTAAGGACTGAGTACTGCTTTCCTCTCTGAGTGCTGTTGACCTTCTCATCAGCTATGCTGGGGTGGGCTACTGGCAGTGACTCAGCAGTTTCTGAGTCCTTTCTGGTCCTGTAAGTAACCCTAATAGACTCATTGGTTCAACAAGTTGGATCTACCTTCAGTTTTCTATCTGAGGTGTTTTGTTTTGTGTTTTCATGTCTCCTCAAGTTTGTTGTCACCCAACAAAAGGCAGAATTATCCTGACTAGGTTACTTGATGCAGGGAGAGTGGGTTAACCCACCCGAAATGTGAGCGGCACCTTTCCACAAGCCGAAGACTCTCATTGAACAGGAAGGAGGAAGCGAGCTGAGCCTAAGCATTGACCTCTCTGCTTCCCGATGGCAGACGAAAGGTGACTGCCTCATTCTCCTGCCGCTGCGACTTCCCAACATGATGGGGAAGCTCCTTGGAACTGGGAGCCAGAACAAGCCTTAGTTACTGTCAACCATGAATTTGAGTCTAGAATCTCCTGGGAGATGGCCTCTGAGCATGCCTGCGGGGGTTATTTTGATTACATCGATCGATGTGGGATCTTAATTGAGGGCAAGACTTATTTCTAGGTAGAAGAGGAGAAATTGAGTTGCGTGAAGAGGAGAAAGTGAATCGAACTGTAGCAAACATCTACCATCCCTTTCTGCTCCCTGTTGGTGGGGCTGCTTTAAGTTTTAGCGACCTCAACTTCTCTACCACGAGCTCATTAAAACTTTTCTCCCTTCAGCTGCTTTTTTCAGGGTATTTTATTAACAGTCAAGAAAAGTAATATAGCTCCTCTGTCCACTTTCTTTCTTTTTTCTTTTCTTTTTTTTTTTTTAATGATCTCTTCATTTTTAATTTCTTAAAAGTCAAGTTCACAGCACACTCCAAGCAATGGTTTGAGAAAGAATATGTCAAGAAAGAAAACAAAGTTTTAAATGGCTGTTTCAAGTGAGTTCTCTGGAATTTCTGTACAGCAAATAATCAGTCATAATTTAAATCTTTGTTGCAGAGTAGCAAACATCTCATATGTGGGATGAGTCACCTAAAGGCACACTCCTCTGAAAAGCAACTAAAAGCAGTATAACAGAAACAAAAATAAATAGTCCTAGAGGGGAAAAAATATATTTGGCAGGATGAAAGATTTTCAAGTCATCTTATCTCAAACCTGCCAGCTCTCTCTCATCAGGGAGAAATAAGGATGCATTTCACATGGTCAGTCTCTCATTGAACTTCTCACTCACTTTTTAGAAACGAATGGCTGTTACAGTGCCCCATATTTGCTCTCAGATATGTTCACTGTCAAAAGGCTTTCAGGATAAAAAGACTGCTTGGCTGCCCCAGGAGACTGGCTAGGAGGTAGGCACTCTAAGTTACACTGACTTATTTTGCACCAAAGGATCAAAACAAGTAAGCATCAAACTTTCTCTGCTTGATAAAACTAAAGTTAGAAAGCTTTTGATCTGTCCAGTTGAGTGGGAGGGAGGCTTTGGGTACCTCAGCAAACACAACGTTTTTGCAGAAGAACAACATCCACAATGCTGCCCTTTGTCCTTCCTAGACCTGCAGCCCAGGGGCTGGCACCCAGTGGCCCAGGGGCTGGCACCCAGCAACAGTTCCTATAATTAGGAAGTTTGTTTCGTGAAAGCCGAACTCATGGGATGAAATCTCAGAGACAAGGGCTGTAAAACACACCTCTCTTCCTCAACAGCAGTTTGGCAGAACAGCTGCTTAGCCCAGCTGGTAGAGACACAGTCAGCTCATTCCTAGGCCGTTGTTATGATTATCTGAAAGATTTCAGTAAGAGCACAGTCCAGTTATGGATCTAGTTCTTGAGGAGAAACAGTGACAATGTGTTCGGTGCACTGTGATGAGACCTGGACTCAGACCCAGCCAACAGCACTGCTGCTCAGAGAGCTGGAGCGAGGACGTGGGGGCTGAGTGCCTTGACAGTGAGGAGAGTTGGCTTGGGTAACCTGAAACTCCTCCGCAGTGATCCTTCTGCATGCCCAAGGTCATATCTCATCCAACATCCTCACTGCACAGATAAGGACATTGCACCCTCTTCTCTATCATCTAAATATGCCTCCAGTGGTTGCTTCCTCATCAAATCTGCCTCTCACTTCTCCTTTCAGCTACAAAGGCACTTTCACTTTTCAGTTACTTTCCTGACAAGCACCAGGGGCAATAAGACTGTTTCTTATCAGATGTAGCTCGTGTGCTTAAGGGTTAAGACAAGTAAGAGAAGGGAAAGGAAAGACCAGGAGGCAAGCCCTCTTCTGTAGGAGGGAAGCAACGGCCAGTGAGGACAGCATCTTCAAAACCACAGAGACAGGCAGGCATAAAGGAAAGACTGAGGAAGATGAAAGGGGAGCTCTGGGACCCTGAAAATCAACTTGGTGAACTTAGACACAAAGCCACAAAACCGAAAGGGCCCTTGCTGGTTTGCTGAGCAGAAACGGGATGTGATTAAAAACCTAATAGTTGAAAACCTCAAATTCCAGCTCAGTGCCTCATGAGGGACCTTGTGACACATACACATTAAAGCGGTAACAGGCTTTGGAGTAAAAAATGCTGCTTTTTTCTGGCCCTTGCATTTCTTCCAGACCTCAGTGCGATGATGCGGTGGTGGATTCTGGGAGATGACAGTAACAGGGCTAGAAGCCAGAATTCTGACTTCTTTCAGAGATATGGATGGTGAGTTCTCTATTACACCTCTCTGGAAGACACTCCCAGCCTAGAAGAGAGGTGTAGTCCGAGTCTTTGCTCCTCTTTCCCTGTGAGAGAAGCAATGTGTGCTGAGAAGGGTTAGCTTCTTGTTTCACATTGTAAAAACAAAACAAAACAAGCGTGAGTGAGTCATTCCTGGGACTGGCTTCCCCCTCCACTGTACATGAATAGTGTAGAAAAGAAGTTATTCATATATAAACTAAATATGAACCAAGAAGACACAGTTTGGATGACGTACCGTTGGAAAACCCTCGCTTCTGTTTGGTGAGGGAGTGTAGTATCAGACCTGCCACATGAAAGTGGCCCAGAATGGATTCCTGAGCACAGTGTCCAACCTATGTCCTCAGTTATCATTCAGGACCCAGGCATCTCCCTAAAACACTCTCCTCTTACTGCCAAATGCAACTTGAGTTCTGATTATATATCAGCTTGACCCAAACTTACAGTGAATATGAGCAGTGTTTAAGCAACCACCTTGCTGAGAAAAATCCAGCTAAAAAGCTCCCAAACGTCAAGTGTTGTTATAATGGCCTCTGTTGGTCGACTGTCAGCATCTTGTAGTTTCAACAGAGTGAGAATTCTGTATTGATGTAAAAACATCGGGAATATCAATATGTAATGAACCGTGCACTATAAGAGAAACATTATAAGCAACATGGCATCCACTTGCGCGCGTTTATTTAAAGTTAGACAAGAGTGGTCTCAGGATGAGGGGAAGATGTAAGAGGGCCAACAGGAGAACACAGCAATGAATATCAATATGTTAACCATCTGTGCTTCATGCACTGTTAACTCTGAGAAAGCGTGAAGATTGAAGATAGCCCTGCTCAAAACTTGGCATAATCTTTGCACCCTCATCTCTACCGTCTGTATTTCCCGTAGCTTGCCACTGCGCAGGCACAGCCCCCCCCCCCCCAGCCTCAAGACCTTGCTGGGCTGCAAAAAGGGCTTAGTTTCCTCTGCCTGCAGCAGCTGTGAAAGAGGAACCTCGGTGGGGGGGGGTGCAGATGGTACAGAGCTGGACCTGCTGACACTCACATCTCTGGGAGGATAGGCCACCGAGAGCTGGGGGTGGGGGGTGGGGGAGGTCACTGCACCCAGGTGCGCACATGGGCTCACCCTTCTTTGAAGAGCAGCACTGAGTACAAGTCTCACCCTCATTTGCTATGTGGCTTGGAGTTTCTCTCCTTACCTTTGTCCACTTGGGTAGACTCAGCTTTGGGGAAGCTTTACAGCTAAACTAGGAAGGAATTCAGTTTGTGGGGGCAAGAGCAAGAGCGGGTCCGTATTCTAGGATGGGTTAGGATTTGTAGTCAGCTTGGACTGTATTGGGCCACTATTTTTTTTTTTTCTTTTCTTTCACTCCTCCAGTTAGGACAGTGTTTACCATCTACTCTGAGAGAGACACGTGCTGCAGAAGGGTAGAAGCAATGATGGTCATGAATTCGTCCTGCTTCAGTCTCAAAGCCCTGTGATTTACAGCTTAGAGCCGCTAACTAGCCAGCTCATCAGAGAGTGGCTTGTCAGCACCGTCAAGATTCTCTTTACTGAGGTGACACCGTGCTCCTGGCACCTGGGGCACTGCCGGCCTGCAGCGACCTTGCACCCTCCAGTATGCTCCAGTCCTAGGCTCTCACGGCAGCTTAGGCTGGGTGTGTGTCCACACTTCCAGACGGTGGCCCTGGGACCTCCGTGTATCACATCCTTGGACCCATGTATAAAGTTACTGCCCAACTGGTGTGACTCGTTCACGTCTAAAATGTTCCTCCAGACTATCAGGCCGTTTAGACAGTTTTTGTCGTTACTCAAAGTGTTTCCCTTGGGGATGACAAAATAGGACCTTCTGGACTTTGGGGGTGGGGCAGATGTCACATCCTCGGATTTGCTGGGGCTGATGTTTTCATTTGGCAGGGTTGAGTTCATGGACTCCCCAGCACTCTGTTTGGCAGCAGGTTGACTCTCTTCCTGTGGAAATGTTTCTGTAATCCCCTTCATTGTGCTTTCTGAAGAGGCTACAAGAACCAGTGCGAGGCCAAGCAACAGCAGAAAGACGGCCATCCCATAAACACGGTAACCTTGCCTGCAGCCAAAAGGAGAACATAGGGGAGATGTTCTTTGTTGTTGTTTTGGGTTATGGCATTTATTCTTAGTAATAACCCCTACACGTAAGACTTCACACATATTAATGAGATACGATATGGTAAACTGACAGTCAGCTGGGAAGCCTGAGCACCCATGCTAAAACCTCCACTTACAATTGATTCACTCTGCTTTATTTAACATTACCTCCCCCATCTGAAGAAGAGAACAAAGAAACAAACAAACAAAACCGAGCTACGTCTAAAGTGCTGAACTGAGCGTTCCTTTCTTCTTTCTGCTCTTACAGGAGGGGTTTACAGTCTCCACATAGGCCAAAGTCATCTCAGCCAAGACATCTGACTATCACTGTCTCTCAAGGCCCACGCAGGACCTGGCACAAGACACAGAAGGTAATCTGTCTCTATCTCTTGTTTCTTTCCCTACCCATTCTCAGTCAGGAAACCTCTGTCTTTACCAGTTCCGTTGGCAAGTTGATCTTGCAGAGAAAGATTCCAGCTTCTTGCGGGGCTGGAAGTGAAACTGTGTCTCATACTCAGAGTTTCTTCTTCTATTGGCTCTAACAGAGAGAAGGAGGAGCAAGAAAGGAGTAGAGAGTTGTGTGTGGGGGTTTGATGAGGAAGCAAGGAGCCAAGGACTCTCTGCGGCCAGGGAGCACCTGCTTTGAAGTCTTCCTCAAGTTTCCTTAAACCCAGAGTGTTTTATTGTTTCGTTTTCTAGAGCCTACGACACACCTTCCTTTGTGTTTTGATATGTCTGATCTTCTTACCAGCTAGTTAGTTGACGCATGTAATCAACACTGCTCTAAATCTGACAAATCCCTGATCCTGAAACACTCTTTCTGATCATGGCCAGAAGACACAGCTTCACACAGAGACTTGCACAAACACCACCCTCTCAGCAGATTTGTCAATGGCATGGTTAGTCAATGCAAAAACCATTTAGTGGTGTCAGTTTTGGGCATTCCACAGTGGGAGTGCCAGGAAAGATGCTTATTTATGTTGGTGATTCTTTCTCTCTCTCATTTTAGAATGATTTCCCCCTTTTTTTTTCTCCTTTAAAATTTCCTCTTACCTATGTGTTGTCACCTTACTTCCTTTGTAACCACCATCCCTTGCACCGCTAAAACACCACCTCAACGACACGCCCCCAGAGCTCTTGACATGTCTCTCCTTGCCCCCAGGACCAGAGGAAGCCTACCCCTGAAGCCCACAAACCAAGGCTCTCCTTGCTCTCATCCCAGTCAAGGCTCAGAGGTTTCTCTAATCATTTTGCTAAACAAAGCTGCCTTGATCAGTCGGGAGGAGGTCCCACTCTTATCTAAACACACCAGAAGCCCCTGTCTCTTCATTTTTATCAGATTTTATTTTGTATTTATGGGTGTGTGTCTGTATGTGTCACGTGTATATGGGTGCCCACAGAGGCCAGAGGAGAATGTCAGCTCCCCTGGTGCTGGTGTTACATGAGATCACGAGCCATTTGATATGAGGGCTAAGAACCAAACTCAGGCCATCCAAAGAGCAACAAGTGCCCTTTGCCACCGAGCCATCTCTCCAGCCCCCATCTCTCCCTCCTTGGTTCTTTCTTTTCTGCTTCTTGAAAGCCTCCAAAATCAGATTTGGATTTCATTCTTTCTTTGACACATCTCTTATCACTTAAGCCTACCAAATCCATTTCTCATTTATGTGGATCTCTCATAACTTTCTTTTTAAAATGTCTATTTTTTTTTTTTTTTACTGGTTTTCATTACATGTGGGAAATATGCATGTGGATGCAGGTCCCCTTAGAGGCAGGAGGAGATCGTCAGATTCCCTAGACCTAGGGTTACAGGGATTGTAAGCTGTCTGACACAGGCGTCGGGACTTGAACGTTCGTCCTCTGAAAGAGCAGTCAGTACATGCCCTTAACCCCTGAGTCACATCCCGTCTCTTTCCTTGTCTCACTGTTTAAAACAAGATTGCCTGGAACTTGTTAAATAGCCCAAACTGGTCTGACTTATAACTGATCCTCTGCCTCAGCCTCCAGAACGCTAGAATGACAGACATGTGCTACAATACTCGACTATTGACAGACTATTAAGAACTCAGTGCACATGTGATCCTTGAGAATGTGGGCCCTAGGCATAGACTTGATAGATGTTGGATGGAGAAAGAATTGGTAAATAACTTACTTACTTTTCTGGAACCTCTGCATCTTTTGCTGTTGACCCCTCTTAGTGAATTGAAATTAGGAAAATAGGAAGGCGATGAGGAAGAGCAGTGCAGAGATCCCCTGTCCTTGTGAAACACATATATCACATGGGCGGAATTCACAGCTACCTGAACTTAATTGCTTGTTATTAGGTGTTCGTTAAAACACACACACACACACAAAGACTAGATATCTAAATGTCATAATATATCTGAATTGGGCTTTGGTCTCTACTGAATGAAAATACTAAGAGATGGATTCCTAGATAGATGTTACTTGAACCTTAAAGGGAATTCACTTTATCTTCCAGATTTGTTTTTAAGTTGGAACGGAGAAGTTAGAAGGAAGAAGGGAAGAAAAAGAAATGATGACAAAGGAAAGGACAATAAAGCCTAGGGACGGGGCAAGAAAACACCAGCAAGGCTCTCTTTGTGTGCTTCTGACTGAGGCTGCCCTGACTCCTGACTCCGTAGCACCTGACTCCTCACTGCGCCTGCTGCTGCTCACGCTCTCTTCAGACACGGAGCATTGACGGGGTTCCAACAGAGAAATGAAACTAATATTGACCCGGAGAAGGACTGTTCCGTGTGGAGGAAGCCATGAGACAGGCTCTGACTCACAAGCTGAGTGTGCGCCACTCAGGATAGCCACCCTCCTCCCGGAAACTACCTGGTCAGTTATAATTTAATGTCTTGAAAAGACAGAAATAGGAGCCCACGGAGACGGAGACGTGCCTCCTCTCTCGAGATGACCTTCAGTTAAGTCCAAGTGACCAGTGCAACAGCGGGAGTCTCTCAGCTGAGAAGATCAGGACAGAACGAGCTCTTTGAAGTTTGGGAATCATTCACCCTGCCCTGGCCCACTCACTTGTCTGAGTCCTGCTTCTCACGTACAAGACTGAACCAACATCGCTCAGAACTAATGGCCCCCATACACTGGCCCCTGCTTGTCCATTATCCTTATTTCTTACTGTTTCCCAACCCTAAGCCTTCTCTCAAGCGAAGCTGCTTTCTGTACTGCTTAAAGAAAAATAGAATTGTAGGATAATAGACTTAGAAACAACCACAAATGTTATCATAGCTTTATAGATGAAAAAAACCCAATAACTAGAAGACTAGCGACAAAAATCCTAATTATCAAGTTTGATGAAATTTCCAGAATTAGGAGTCTCTATCTGTCTTCCTTTCCCCTCTGGCTGTAAGGTTACCATGTCCATAGCTGAACATGGGGTGCTAACACATTTAATTTAGCAAGAATCAAAAGGGGAGGGTGTTTGCAGTCCGCCTCACAGCCTTCTCTGTTTCATCCAGAACTTTGAAGAGGAAGTTTTTGAGTCGCAGAGAGACTCAGTCCTCTTTCTTTCTTTCTTGGAGCACTTGGAGCTGTGTCTCTCCACGGTCTTCATGAGAATGCTTTCTGACTAGACAGGTGCCTTCCAATTTCCTTTTCTTTTCTTTTGAGACCAGGAGGAGCTGGTGAGCAGGAACAGGCGCAGGATAAGCTATATAATCTATCTTTAGAAAAGTCTTTAAGACCCCAGAAGTGTCTCCCCAAATACAGGCTTCTGCCATCCTTCTTGGTTACCCACCCTGCTGCTGTAGACCACTCAGACTCCGGATGAAAGCTGGAGAGAAATTAAGCCAAAGCTTGTTGGGGAATTCTCCCCTGCTGGCTGGCTCTCAAAGTGCCATGCAGTGCCCTGAAGGCTGCTTTGGGGTAAAGACACTGATGAGCTAGCACAGGTGTGGACTGTAACACCCACCTGCCATGCAAGATGCGCCTTTTGGTGCAATTCTGGTAAACCTGCTGCTTTCTAACAGGTTTGGGGCTTGCCTAGTACTTTAAACCATGACTGAAAAGGTCACAGGCCCTGAACCTAATCTGTCTTCTTAGCTGAACTGATACGGCATCAAACCACCCTCTAAACCTCTGTGTTTATAGCTACAGACAAAGGCTATCTCGGCCTTAAATAAAGGCCTTATTCACTCTGTGCAGTGAACAAAGGTAAATGCAAATACCCATAGTTGCCCAAGATGCTGAAAGCAAAGAGTAGCTGAGGGTTCATCCCTGGGCCAGAGGTTTGTAACAGCCCTTAAGGTTCACACAACATAGTGGAAGAGGGAACAGAGAGCATGCAAGAGGCATAGGATAGGGAGAGGGACTGCAAGATGCCATCTTCCATGCACAACTTGACTATGACAGTGATAAACTTAGAGCAGCTGGGCATCCTGGTGCTAGGGCCACAGGAGTCAGACCCTCCTAACAGTCAGCTATGAGGAAAGGACTCATGTGCCTACCGCTTCCTGCTGACCTCGGCATCCCACGGGCTCTAACGGTCAGTTCTAAACTCAGGGTGACACAGACAACCCTGATTAAACTTTGTGGGACACAGGAAAATGGGCTCTGGGTTGAAAAAGGAAAGAAAACATAAAGTTGTGGGTGGAAAGGTAGAGGGAATGAGAGAAGCTGAAGGAGAGATAGTTCAGTGGGTTTGATCAAAACACAATGTATATATGTATAAGATTCTATATGTATAATATGCAATAAATTTAAAAAAAATATACTAAAGGAGAAAAGTCCCTAAGAGGTGACCTCAATTACTTTTTCTTAAAATAAATAAATAATAAATTGAGGGCTGGTGAGATGGCTCGGAGGTTAATAGCACTTACTGCTCTCACAGAGACCAAAGTTCAGTTCCCAGAACTTACAGAGTCTCACAACCACCTGTAACTCCAGTTTCAGAGACTAGATTCCCCTTCTCACCTCTGTGGGCACTGTATAAATATCACACACACAGAGAGAAACAAATCAATAAGTTTAAGGGGAAGTAGAGACAAAGTCACACCCTCAGGCAAAAATCTAATTGATAGCTGCTGGAAAAGGAAAAAAAAAAAATCAGTTTCCTTTAATGAAGTGAGGACACTGGCCCCATGCTCAGGAGTAGTTGGCCAACAAAACACCTTTTGTTTTGTTTTGAAGAGAGAGAAAGAACATGGAACTGATATTTTAATTCATTTTTAATTAAAACAGAATTATGTCACTTTTCCTCTTCTTCCCTTTCCTCCAGCCCCGCCCATGCCCTTCCCTTCAAGCCCCTCCCATGCCTGCCCATTCTCAAATGGATACCTCTTTCTTTTGTTATTACTGTTGTGCATATGTGTGTGTGTACTGAGTCATTTTTTTTGTTGTTTGTGTCTTTATACTTTCAAGGCTAACTACTTTGTATTAAATAGCCAATTAGGGGGCTGGATAGGAAGGTTGGAAGGAACTAGGAAGAGTTGGAGGAAGAGAACAATATGATCAAAATATATGAGTCAGGCCTTGAATCCCAGCCCTGAAGAGGCAGAGGTGGGCAGACCTCTGTGATTTCGAGGCTACCCTGATCTACATAGTGAGTTCCAGGCAATCCAGGGCTACAGAGTAAGATCCTGTCTTAAACAAACAAAAACACATAATATGAAATTCCTAAACAGTAAAATAAAGGTACTTCTAAAAAAATTATGCCACATGATCCTTCATGCACAAAATTAATATTTTCAATGCTATGATCTGTTTTTCTGCTGGCAAAGTTCATACGACCATCCTCCTCCCGATCCTGCCCTATCATACTGGATCTTTGAGATATAGATATTTCATATAAGAAAGAATTTTTGCTATCATTTCGATTTTTCGGAATATTGACTTAATGATGTTTATCTAGATTAATCATCGGGGTTTGGTTGTTTGGTGTTTGGTTGGTGGCCTCTTGAGCATGACACCTAAATGCCTCTCCCTCAGATTCCTATTGATCCTCACCGAAAGACTCAAAGACACGGAGCAAAAACGTAAAGCACGTGGGAAGCCTGTGGTTTAATTCAGCGAAGATGTTTTTATTGACATGGAACCAATGACTGCGTCTCAGCCACGCTGGAAGGACAACTCACCTACCCATTCCATTCATGGGTTTGTAACCTACCCACAGTCCAGGTTAGCCAGTGCGGCTGGGAAACGGAGGAGAGGTTCGCACACTAAGTGCTGGTGGCGAGTCAGTCGACATACCCCTGGAAATTGACTGGCCCCAAGTCGTCACAAGTGACTAGGACAAACCCCTCTCTGGGGGAAATTTGGTACCTGCAGGCGGGGTATTTGACGCCCTCGATGAGCTGACAGACTGTCAGTCTGAATCGCGCCTCACTCTGGAAGCAGAAAATGTCAGAATAGTTGGGGCAAGCCATCTTCTTAGAGGAAGTGCAGATGCTGTTGATTTTCTGAGGCCGCTCGTGGATGAAGACGTGCATCTTTTTGCATGTGTGGTCGGGTTCCCTGATGACTCTCTGGAGGATGATGTGGTTGCAGTACCTCGGGGGAGCAGCGCTCTGAGGGTAGTCCACATGCAAATGCTCTATGGATGTGAGCACGACATCCTCATTCAGCTCGTTTTCCCAGAACAGAAGCAGCAAGAAAACAATCACCATTAGCACCATCAGGGGCAAAATTCCCTTCACATCTCTGGCTTTAACTCCTGGTGAGTAAAGGAAACAGAAAGGAGCAGAAGGTAGTGAGAGTCCTCCTGCCTCAACCCAGGACTGCTCCCCAACCCTTCAGGATAAACGTCCCCTCCCTGCTAATTAAAATCACACTGGCCACTTGAGACCCCTCAGGACGCCCTTATCCCAATTACTGAAAGGCTCCTTCCCACCCAGTTCCTCACGCCCCGCCAAGACTGTCCGCCATAGCCTATCTCTGCTCTTGACAATTCCTTCCCCTTGCACGGATTCGCCTTCAGTTTATGCTAGCCCCCCCCCCTCACCTGCCCTTCTCGCTCTTGCTTTCACAGGTAACATGCCCTCGTAATCATGTATGTGAGAAAAGCCTTTGTGTCTCCCTGTTCAGCAGGCAAGAACTGACAAGGAGCTGCTGATCGTGGGGCGGTCAGAGGAGGAAAGAGCAGAAAGGGAGGGACCCGAGGAACAGTGCGCTTCGGTGCCTTCAGGGAGGAAGAGATCACAAAGTGAGACAGCGGAGAGGCAGGTCCCGCCTGGGTTCTCGCTAAACAGTCTCCGACTCTTGGGAAACTTTCTCATCAGTCCTCCCCGCAAGTCTGTGAAGCAGCTACTGTTTTCACTCCGTCGATAGAGACGGAAGTTCCAGAAAGGCCATGCTAGAGACAATAGACTCACACAACAAAGAGTTTCCTCCTATCGGTGCCAAACCCCGGTTTCAGCACTTTTATTCCCACGTGGTATACTGAGTTAGGTAAAAACAACTCTCCTGAGTGTGGCTAAAGCCCTGAGCTTCTGAAGAGTGTGTCAATAGTTCCCAAACTCGGCTGAATCTTTGAAACACCAGGTATTAAAAACAAAACAACACCCATCGGCTTCCACGTGGATAATTGGTGGCTGTATGGTTCCAGACACTGGGGCAACAGGAAAAACTGTGTTGCCTTCACCTCATGGAATCTGGTGAACTGATGCAGGGATGGAAACCGTCATTTGACTTAGTCTTGCTCCGGCATGGAGCCTTCATCTCGAGTGTGGGAACGAATGTGCCTGTGCCTGGGTGTCTATGCGTCTTGTCTAAGGCTGTGCATGTATGAGTGTGAGAATATGTTACTGTGTGGGTGTGCGTGTGTGTGTGAGGGAGACTGTGAGTATGGGGGGTTGAGTGTGTATACGTGTGAAAGGTGTATATGTGAGAGTGTGTATGAATGTGTGTGTTGTGCTCATATGTGAGAATATGTACGTATGCGTGACTAGAAATGTGTGTGATGTGTATGTGCGTGCATGTATGTATTATGGGAGACTGTGTGTGTGTGTGTGTTAGGGTGTTATGTAAATGTTGAAGTATGTGCGTATGAGAGAGAGTTGGGGTTAGGCCTGGAGAACAAGAGAGTGCCCTCTGTGCTGACCACTTTCTTTGGCACGGAGCTCAGTCTGTGATGTTTTTAGGAAGCTAAGTGTAGGGGCGTGAATGAAAACGGCTCCTGTAGGCTTATAGATCGAATGCTTGGTCCCCAGTTGGTGGAACTGTTTGGGAAGGATGGGGGGTTGTTTCTGGAAGTGGGCTTTGAGGTTTCAAAAGCCCGTGCCATTCCCCGTTTTCCTTCTCTCTCTGCCTCTCTCTCTATCTCTCTTCCTCATGCTTGTGGATCGGAATGTGAGCGTTCAACTCAACGACTGCTCCAGCGTCATACCTGCCTGCCGCCATCCTCCCCGCCATGATGGTCACGAACTCTAATCTCCTGAAACTCTAAGCCCCCAACATACTCTTTCTTCTATAAGTTGCCTTGCCCACCAGGCCTTAGCACAGCAATACAGGAGTAACTAAGACAATGAGTGTGAGGGGACCCATTATCCTGTCTCTATTTTTGTATATGTTTGCAAATATTTATGTAAAAAGTTTACATTCTTGTTCTCAGGGAGCTTATGTCTGATAGATGCAGGTTGACAATGAAATATAAACACAATCGATGGTGTTTTAGAAGACAGGAACCACGCAGTTTTACATAGGATGGCCAGCGTGAGTAGACCTGGGAAATGGATAGGTTTCCCTTTCTCCCTGACTAACAAATCTCAATACTGTTTAAGGATATTCCGTGACTCAGGCTGGAAAGATGGCTGTATTGTTAAGAGCCTCTGGGATGGGGATCAGCCAGAAGAAGAAGATGACCCCTTGGCCCATCACTCTCTTTTTAAAGATTCATCCTTTCAACATTTTACATAAAGCTGAAATACTTGAATATCCATACAAAAGAATGGGAAGCCTTTCAGTATAACTGGGAAAGGCCAAAGCACCAGTTCTCAGCCGCTCCTAACTCTAGCGCTTTCTGGATTTTCTAGATGTAAAACAAAATGGAGGCGGGGTATTACTAGTTTTTAATTATCATTCAAGGTAATGGCTTCCATTGTGACATTTTTATACATAGATATCATAGTCCTTGACTATTGTTTGTCCACCACACATACACACTGATCTCCTCTCCTACCCACTTCCCAGTCCCCTTCCTCCCATCAGATGGCCCCTCCTGCTTTCATGGAACACACATTCCACAAAGAGGGGGTAGTTTAATCAGGAGTGGTGGTGCATGCCCGTAATCCCAGCACTCAGGAAGGCAGAGGCAGGTGGATCTCTGTGAGTTCAAGGCCAGCCTGGCCTACAAAGTGAGTCCAGGACAGCCAAGGCTACATAGAAAAAGCTTGTCTCAAAAAAAAAAAAAAAAAAAAGGAGTTAGTTTTTAAGCGAAATCCATCAGAAAAAAAGCCTGGGACTTACCCTGCACCTATCAAATGAAAGTCTAGAGGTAAGCTGCCCTCGCATTCAATAGCTCCTTTCCTAAGATTCCCTGAGTGGCAGACAGCGTCTTCCTCTCTAGACTGCTGCTCACCCACAGCAAGATGAAAGCCATCCGCTGGAGAGGCGGATGCTCGCTGCTCTGGTCTGACACAGCGACATTACTGCCCCTGCCTCGGTCCAGAGCTTGCAAGCCAGCAACAAGATGGCTCACCCATGAGCTCCTTCGCTGGATGCCTGGACGGTCTTCTCAGAAAGCCACTGCTGGAGGAAGTGAGTTTCCTGTTGGTTGGCTGCCACGGGGTGCCGCAGAGGGTTGGCCTGGCCTCCTTTCCACAGACCGCACATCTGGACAGGAGAGCAGCGTGTTCAGCTCTCAGCGTCCACAGCTTCTAAGATCACAGCATGTTTATGGGGTGGGCAGGAGGTGTCGTATCCTGTCCCTTCCGTGGCACCAACTACCTATGTTAGCATGAGAAAGCCATGACACTTCCCAGGGTTTCCGCTTCTGCATCTAAAACAGGAGTGGTAGAAAAAGAACGTAGGGTAAACGTAAGGCTCCACCCTGCTTTCACACACCAAGGTACAGGCTGATCTCACAAGATGGCTGGCTACACACCGAAGGTGGTCTGTGCTTCCCGGCTTTTCCTGGAAACAAGCGATGAGGAAGCATGGGGTTAGACGGTAGGTACCAGACCCCAAAGTGGGGTTTGACTTAGAAACAGAGCAGTTTTCCTGTGGGATGGCTTATGAACTGGCAATGTGGTCCAAGGGGCACAAAACAATAGCACGGGGGAAAGGCACGGAGGACAGCGCTTTTGGGTTTTGTTTCTTTTCCATTACATTTAGTTGGTTAGTTAGTTAGTTAGTTAGTTAGTTAGTTAGTTAGTTAGTTAGTTAGTTGGAAATGTGCACGCAACAGTGGGCCTATAGAGGTCAGAGACGACTTTTGAGTTGGATGTCTCTTTCTACCACGTGGGGCTCAGGAACTGAATTCAGGTTACCTCCCTTAGCTTCTTTTCCCACTGAGCCATCTAAGTGACCCTAGGAGGTCAGAGGTCAGCTTTTAGGCATTGCTTCTTTCCAACCACCATGGAGATCCAGGGAGTGAGCTCAAGTCATCAGGCTTGACAGCATGGACTTTTCCCACTTAGGTATCCCACTGGCCAGTAAGCACAACTATTGTAGAGGCCCCATTGAGTATCTTTGACAGTTACAGAGCTGTGAACTGATTCCCTTACATGTTCCTGGGCTCTATTCAAACTCCCCACCTACCGCTTCATCTCTTCCCCTTCAGTCAAGGAAGGTGAAAGACCGGGGCCTGCATCCACCCAAGAGCAAGAAACTCCTGACCTTGGACAGGTGGTGTTCAGCGTTGGAGACAGTCAACCTGGGTTTTACAATTACAGCCCCAGGCTGTGCACACACAGCCTCTGTGGGAAGCGCAGTCTCGCTGCTAGCCTTGGGTGCCTGCAATGACTGACACAGGCCAGTAGCCCAAGAAAGACCAGACGAGGAGAAATTGCCTGAAGCACCTTCAGTTTCTTCATTGCAGAAGTGCTTTGATCACATCATACCCGGCTTCTCATCTGTAAAGGCGGCCGGGGCTCTCACCCAGAGCCTTCTGCATGAGCCGTGTGGAAAGACCATTAAAGCAGCCTTCCCCCTACCCCCTGCACCCCCCAGGGCATTCTTCCCTTTTATGCACTCCCAGGGTCTGCTTTCTTTTCTTTTCTTTTCTTTTCAGTTCCATCTTCTCTAAAAATAGGATAAAATTCCTTGGAAAAGATGAACTAGAATAATCACCGTGGCTCTAGAAAGTCTAGGCTCGTTTTAACTGCACCAAAACCCCTCCGCGCCCATCAGCACCCTGCTCGGGCCACTTGGGAATCATTAAGACTGGTTTCTGCAAAGATTGAACTCAGTAAAATATAAGGACACGAGGAGCTTATGGAAGAGTGATCCGAAGGGACTGTACTTTCCTCCGAATGTAAGAAGGCAAGATTACAAAAGTGCGCTATTTTTAATTTGCGAGAGTTTTTTGGTTTTTATGTTTTTAGATAGGGTCTCATTATACAGCCCTGGCTGGCCTGGGGCTTGACCCAGCTGCCTCTGCATCCTAAATGCTGGGATTAAAGACATGTACCACCATGTTAAGATTTAAGCTTTGTTCAGAGGGCGTGTGTGTGTGTGTGTGTGTGTGTGTGTGTGTGTGTGTGTGTGCAGGCAGGCGTTCACGTGAGTGAGAATCAGCTAAGTGCAGATGCCCAAATAGCCGTCAGATGCCCTGGAAACAGAGCACAGTTGTGAGACACCTATTATGGGTGATAGGAACCAAACTCAAGCTCATCTGGAAGAAAGCCAAGCTTTCCTAACTACTGAGTCAACTTTTTTGCCCGCTTTCCAGTTGTCAGCTTTTACTTATTTTTATGTATTTATTCATTTAGTGTGTGAGAGGGTAGTTCCTGTACCACGGTGACTGTGTAGAGGTCAGAGGACAACCACTCCATGTGTGCCCAGGGTGACGCTGATGTGGTCAGGCCGGGCCGGCACTGACGACTTTGCTCACGGAGCCATCCCGAAGGCTTCTTCTGGAGCATGACTTGGATGAGGCTGTGCAGCACTGTTGGCTCAGAAGGCCAGAAAGACAGGCGGAAAGGGGGGAGACGTGCTGATTTCCCACCAGGCGAGGCCTTGAACCCTCCCTTCATTTGCTGACGGCCCTTTAGGAGATTTGGGGAAATGCTGTTAGCTCTGTGCTGTTCTCCTTCACAACCTTTCACT